GGCCCCCACCCAAAACCCCCCCCCCCCCCCCCCCCGGCCTGCTGCCGTCGTTCGCGGAGAAATTCCTTCAAAGCCACACAAAGCACTTGACTTTTTCGAGATGTGGCTGGTGCGGCGGCGCCGAGGAGCTGTACCACATGCAGCGGTGAAATCCATCCAATGGGGGGCGTTGTAGGGATTTATACTTGGTGCTGTGTACATATGTCTTGGAAGGTATGGAATTTTTAAAGATTTTTTTTTTTTGGGCGCCGCCCCTGGAAAGAAAAAAAAAATTGAAAGGGTGTTGTGTATACGCCTCTAATCGTGGTAGAAATATCAAGTGCCTGCTGAATTGGTGTCGCAGCCGGGTGAATGGATACGGACGGAGAACCAGCCCGTAAACCTGAGCATGTTGGATTGCAGGCCGTGACCAACGTGCCCCCAACATTGAAACTCATAACGGAAAACTAGTCCTCTCCAACCAAAAAAAAACACCTCCATCTTTATCTCGTCCCAAGTAAACTACATGCAACAACCAACAATCTTTCCCCCGCACAACCACGAGCAAACAGGCTGAAGCCAGACTGCGGGACACCACGCGCGCACACAACACACTCCCGGCCCAGCGGAATTAAGTAGCCAGGCCAGGCAAACAACTTGAACAAAGAGAAAAAAGTAAACCCCCGCATCCAACCATACTCACATGCCGATCCCACACCGCCGCGGGGCATCACCATCGCCACACCGAACAAATACCCGGACCGCGGGACGCCCAGACCACAAAGTCAACAGCCACGCGGGACCAGAGAGGGCCCCTCGGCGGCGCCGGCATCCGCCGACTCGAGCCCATTTTCGCGGTTTTTGTACAGCAAGCCCCGTCAAGTATCCCCTCAGAATGGGACACCAAGAGAAAGAGACACGATACTACCGCGCCAGGTTTTCCCCGCAGACTTGATACGGATGAGAAGGGCAGGGGGAAGAGGCACATACACTCAGGGGCGGAAGACATTTGCCCGCCAAGAGTATGGAATAACATACTCGATGTTATAGTATAGAGCCGCTAGTTGTCTAGGCATGTACCTAGGTAGTCAAGTACGCTGCTCAAAAACGTAATACATATAAATTGTGCTCTACAGCAGAGTGCCGTCTTGGGGTGGTATTACGTCGTCTCTAGGAAGTACACCGCATGACATAGTCCCCGTTTTTATATATACACGCATCTACATAGGAAAAGGGGCCAGAAAACTATTCAATATAATTTATAGTATTTTGCCATAAGAAGCTTGTCTCTAGGCATAGCTGCAGGTCAAACTCGATCCACTCTGCACCACTCATCTCACACAACTATTTGAAACCTCGCCAACCCCATCTCCTGTTTTCATTTTAAGCTCTAGAAGCTAGTATATCATGCCCTGACTCTGGGCTCCTTCTTTCCGGGGGCGCCAAGCGTGGAAAACTCAGCCCACGTGCTTCAATAATGACCTGAAGCTCGCTCAGCCCCCTCGGGGCCCATAATTGCGCAACATTGGCACCTCGGCAGGACTGAATCTGAAGCTCCCTTCATTACGCCGCTGCTCATGCATACAAGCGCTGAAGAAGAAGAAAATGACCTCAACTTATCGATGGGGGGGGAGATGGGGAGAAGCTCAAGAAGAAAAAAAATACAAGGCCTTCACTGGCAAATCTTTCTCCCAGGCTCAGACAGTCCCCAATGCCACGGCCGCGCGCTTATTCGCGCTCCCGCTGGCTGGTTTCATTAAGCGCCCGCCTGGCCACGTAGTTCCTCATACCGGTTGGGCCCTTGTCGTGGGCCAAAAATACGCACCCTACACTAGACAGATCCTGGAACCCATGTAAAACTGGCGCGACCCAAGCCGCTCGCTGCGGTAATTGTACCAATCGCCGAACGACATGCATGCACGACTGAACGCCAATGTCATCAATGCCCTGAATTTCCCGTGACTGTAACATATCATAGTCCCTACGTAGGTGAATTTTCATGTCGATTTGGCCACAGCACATTTCCACAAAGTCGTAGCGGCGAGAATATCCATGAGTCTATTAGCACTGCATTCCTGAACCGAGAACCCAGAATCCGTTTGCCCTCCTCTACTCCGTACGTAAATGAAAACAAAAGAAAACTAACTCGCATCGCGAGGACGCTTTCGGACCCCTTCTCCCTCCTCACCCCTCCCCATTGACCATGACATTGTCATGACATCGTTGGTTGCCCAACTACAAGGTGACGAAATCTTAGGGATGGAAACCCAAAACAGCGAAAGTGCCTTGTGGCAAGATCATCCGCAGGCCAGCCGGGAAGCCGTGGCAAGATCAACAAACGACACTCCATCTCGTGCTACTTTGCACCATCGCGTCTCTTTGCCCCGGCCCCGATAGCCAGGTGAAGGTATAAAATCTGACAACAAAAATAACAACAGAGAATAAGGTTCCTTGTCGTGGAACTTTTCTCATTGGCATGTGTAGTGGTCAACATTTTGCAGATTTTGTGCTCGTGTCCGTATCCTGAAAGTCCGTTCGAAGATGATACCTGCCTCCTCCCTGATAGCATATACACCTCCGACCACGTGTTTGCCCCAATGTCAGCATCCTGCGGCGCCTGGGCGTACCATCGCTCTCTAATTATAGTAGCCATTCATGCGGCCAACCTCTTCCTGCTGCTCGGCGAGGTAGTCTTCGAAGTAAGGGTGGTTGCAGGCTTGCTTGGCCGAGATGCGGCCAGCCGGGTCATATACCAGCATCATTTCGAGGAGCTCTAGGCCCTTTTGATCCAGGTTCTGGCAGAGGGGTTGCCTATAGTCTCTCCTCCACTTAGGGAATGATGATTTAAAGTCGGGGTATGAAGTGACGCCGGGCCAGACCTCCTCATCTGGAGTACCAAGGGTTCTAAATGATGCATGAATTAGTCCGAATTCCGCATGAAATTACGCTTCATGGTTTGAGAGTATATTTCAGGCGTGGAATCGAGGGAGAGGGCAACTTGCCGGAAAATCTTGAAAATCTCGTCTATTTCAGAGTCACCAGGGAACAATGGTTTCCGAGTACACATTTCAGCAAAGATACAGCCCACTGACCACATATCGACACCAGTCGAGTATTGTCTTCCACCGAGTAAAATCTCCGGAGCTCGATACCACAACGTCACCACTTCATGGGTATACGTTCGCAGGGGCACGCCAAAGGCACGGGCAAGGCCAAAATCAGCCAGCTTCAGGTTACCCTCCTTGTCAATCAGCAAGTTTTGGGGCTTCAAATCTCGGTGAAGCACTCGACGGGAATGGCAGTACTTGATGCCCTCGCACAACTGCATCATAAACTTCCGGACAACAACTTCGCCAAGGCCGAGTTGCATAATGGTCGCCGAGGATCCCTCGGGCAGGGCTTTGCCTCGGCCACCATCGCTGACGGGTAGCGCCTCCATGTACCTCTTTAGATCTAGATCCACGAACTCAAAGACAAGGTAGAGCTTGTGGCCGTCGGAGTGGACGATGTTAAACAGGCGGACAATGTTGGGGTCTCTCAATTCCTTGAGAAGGGAGATTTCTCGGATAGCAGTGCTAGGGACACCTTCGTCTTCGGCTTCGAGGCGAATCTTTTTGAGGGCGACGATGCGGCCACTATTGGCAAGGTCACGCGCCTTGTAGACAACACCATACGTGCCTGGTCGAGTCAGTCCATCGTGCTTGACCATGGCGGGCATTTATTCATGCAACTCCTCGCTGCAGCAATTGTGCCGCTGTCCCAGTGCAAGTCATGAACTCACCCTCGCCAACTTTTTCCAGCTTCTGATAATTCTCCATGATGAAAGCGGTTCGGGGTTTCTCCCTCACAACAACAACAACAACAACAAGTCAGTGCGGGTCGAAAGCTGGTCGCGCTGTCGGGTGTAATTTCGCAGCCCGGCGTCTACGCGGAACGTCACTGCGCAGGAACAGACAAAAGCGACGTCGACCGGCCAGAGGGAGAATTGTCGGTGGTGGATGAACAATGGAGCAGCTTGCCACTGCCCTTGCTCTCTCCCTCGGAATGGGGAATGGAACGACGCGGGGGTAGTGAGGAAAAAAGCACAAGGAAGAAATTCACAGATACTAGTCTGGTGTCGTCACCCCAGCAAGCAAGCGAGGGGTCAACACACACACACACAAGAGTCGCGATGGCGCGGGGTGGACGCGCCTTGGCAACTTTGGGGAAACGAAAATAAGTAACAAAAAAAATTAAAAAAAAAATTATAAAGGGGCAAGAAGAGAGAGAGACAAATAGCTGCGGGTTAGTAGTATACGGCGGGCGCAAAAAAACCGTTTCTCAACCAAGAGACGAAAGTAGTTTTGTCAAGTCCAGAAAGTCGGTGCAACAGGAGCTTCTCGAGTCTCTGTTTTTGGTCAACCCTGTTTGTTGTGTTTACTTGTACTCGGCCGGCAACACACCACTCACAGCTCCCGAATCGTGGAAAAGGTACTCAATTAGGTTTAGTCGTGGAGGTTTAGCTGAGTTGTCCCTGCCAACTCGCGTCTTTAGGCGGGGCACACGTTCCATACGGCTTATCGATAAGGAACAGCCACCACTAGGACCCTTCAACGTTTCTATGCTCGCTTCCAATAATACATACTCGCACCTTACGTCGCTTGTCATCCTCACCGACACCTCGGGCTCCTATATTTGGCTTGATATATGCCCTTGATGAATTTTTTCCCAAGACTGCGTTCTCATTTGACGACAGATACCGTCAGCACGGTACGCATCCCGGCAGATGACGGAGTTGGTACCCACCAAGCCAAACTATTACAACTAATTTGATGCTTGCCCAACTCTCGACTCTCATCAGCAATACTACATGCGTGCAGCTCACTATTCATGGATCATGACTCTGCAAGCTGCTTCGTCCCGGCACTCCCTTCTGCCCGCCTCAAATCCAAAATTTTACCCAAGTCCAAATGGCCCTTTGCTCCCCATCCGGATGGTCCAGCTTCCACATCGGGCCGCACAGAAACATACCAGCTCCAAGCTCTTCGATCGAGCTCGTCTTTCCGCAAAACGCCGGCCCAGCTCTTGTACAACAGCCTCAGCGCCCCCAGTAATTTCCCCAAGTTCTCTTCCCTCTCGTCATTCACCGCCGTCAGCGTCTTCTTGGTCTCACTCCCACCTCCGTCAACCGCAGCCGTCCCAAAACTCCGTAGGAGGTAGTTCCTCGCGCCTTCGGGGCGGTGAATGGGCATCCCCACCGTCGTAAGAGACGGCGTCTTGTTTTCAGGGTCCAGACCCCAGAGTGCTTCCCCAGCCAGCGTAGACTTTCGTCTGCGGGAAGACAGCGCGTCGTTGATGCATTCTCTCATAAGACGCCATCTATCTGGACCAAGCATAATGCCGCCGTACCACCTCGATAGCACAACGAGCGTATTCGTGACATCTGCTTCGCGCATGGTTTGTAGCATAAACTTCCCACAGCCAGATTCTCCGTCGTCAAATGAAGCTTCTTGAACCAGTGGCGAGTTGCCGTAGCTCGTTCGCAAGGCCCATGCGTTGTGTGTGGCTGTTTCCAACTCGGGTTTATCTGTCATGAGACCATTCATCAAACCCGTCCGAAGAGAAGGCGAAGACAAACTTGCGGCATGCGCTACAAATGTAGACGCTCGAGATGTCAGTTTTTGGCTCACGACCCATGTCTTCTGCTCGCCTGACGACGACGACTCTGGCTCACTCGGCCCCTCTGTCGAACCTGCAGCCTCATCTAGTTCATCCGATTTCCATGCATATCCGCTCCTTTTCAGAACTGGAATCTCGCGCCCCAAGACCCTGACCTTTGGCTGTCCCTCAGGGATCTGGTCCTCACCTCCAGGCGGTGCCTTCTCAATGCCAATGCTAATCGCCTTGGATCTCGAATTTGCACTCACGACCGCCTGACCCAGGCTCAACCTGCTGCTCGGAGGCTGTTCTGGCATGGTAAAGCGAAGTAATTCCACCGCAAACGCGAGCACAAGTGGCGCTCTGTTTGTCAGCAACGTCGTCTTTCGGATTGTCTCTTCGTCCTCAACTAGTGGCAAACTGAGCGAGCTTTCCAGCTCTTCTGCGCTCATCGAGCTGTAGTCCAAGTCTCGCTTATGAGGCTCCAGTCTAGGTTTCTTGGAGTTGGGAGAGGTAGACTCCTCAGCAGCACGCTTGGTCGCCTTCTTGCCGTGCGTTTTGCACGCTGTGTGGAAGGACTTGGCCAGTTTGGCGTCTGAGATGGCGGCTTCTACTGCAGAGAGAGGCGCTTCTGCAATTTGCTCAATGCTAGATTTTTTCTCAATTGGTATATTGCTCCTCAGAATGTGTTTTGATCAGATGTACCTTCTTAGGTTCTTGGACTGGAGCGCCTTGATGTGACCCATGGCTGCCATCATGGGAATTTTGCGTGAAGTGAACATGCGCAGCAGCTCCTGTAAGTCGCCGTGGCCTGACATGCTCAGCAACATCTAAAGCCGGTAATATCTTGGCTGAGAGTTTTTCTTTTCCTTTTCTAATTTTTCAGTCTTGGAATGCGTCCAGGGCGAGTTCTTTGTCAAGATCCGAGTGTTGAAACAGGCAACGCTGACGCGCGCTGCGTAGAGGCTGTGGCAGAGATTTACTTACCGAGAAGTATGCACTAATATGCTGCAGTATACTATAGTATGGAGCGAGATAGCCAGGTACCTGATCTGGTTAATTACTTTTCGCCTCCTACTGTACCTTGTTTCCCTGCCGTGAATGAAGCTTGGACCCCCCAGCCCTGAGGTTCTGCCCCCACATCAGCTCCGAAGCATCGGGCCGTTCACACATCCGGATCAGCCCCGACGCCTTTTTTAAACATACAAAACCGCTACGTTTGTTTTGTCACTATCCGGAATCGGAAGCTTACGCCAAACTCTGCGACCGGTAACCCATACAAAACAAGCCATGCAGTACCAATGATGGTCACCGCGTGTGGCTTCGCCAGAGCCACTTGCCTACCAAGGCGTTTTGCTAGCACAGCTTCCAAAGCTGCTCGCAAACAGCCGACTACTAAACCACCACCTGCTCCTGCTCCTCCCCCTCCTCCTCGCCTCTCCAAGTCATATAAACCGTGAGTTGCCTCCCGGCTCTATAGAAGAGTCCCCGAGACTCACGCCTCAACTCCCTCGCAGCAGCCCTCGAAAAGCACCCTCTCAACCCCGACATGCTCCGAATCCCTCAGAGTCCGGCGATACCCTTCAGTCTCTCTGGCGCCGCTCGTGGCTCCCACTCTCCGGAGCCGCCCTCCTATCCGGCTTCCTGGGCTTCTACATCGTCGGCACCGCAGCCGCCTCCTTGAAAACCTGTCCATGCCAAACGCCCTGCGAGCACGCCACGCCGACCGGTCGACCGCCCGCCCTGACAGGCGACAATGCCGAACAATTCGACAAGGAGCTGAATCTGCCCGAGTGGTGGATGGGCATCACCAAGCTGCGGAAGAAACTGGCCGATCATGCCAAAGGCAACGTGCTGGAACTGGCCATGGGCACCGGCCGGAACCTCGAATACTACAACTGGGATGCGCTGAGTGGGACACACCCAGTGCCGGGGAAGAAGGATGCGGCCAGGGGGATATCCTCGTTCACGGGGCTAGATATATCCGCCGACATGCTCGACGTCGCGCGCAAACGACTTGTCACGACGGTCCCGCCAATGGCTGATTCCGAGCCCATCGTAAGGAGATCGACGCTGACGGACCACACGGGCGGGCAGCTGTCCTTCCTGAACGATCGGCTGCGACTGGTTTGCTCGGATGCGCATCACCCTCTCCCGCAGGCAGCGGGTGCGACGCGGCCGTCCTCGTCCGCATCGGACGCGACGTACGATACTATTATACAAACATTTGGGCTTTGCTCCGTGTCGGATCCCGTGGCAGTTTTGTGCAATTTGGCATCCGCTGTCAAACCGGATACCGGTCGCATCATTCTTCTTGAACACGGCAAGGGATGGTATGGACTTGTCAATGGTCTTTTGGATAAGAATGCAGAAAAGCATTTTGAGAAATACGGCTGTTGGTGGAACCGTGACATTGAAGCGCTTGTCGACGAAGCTGTGCAAAAGACACCAGGACTGGAAATAGTCAAGCTAGATCGGCCAAACATTATGCAAATGGGTACTTTAGTCTGGGTAGAGCTCCGCATGAGGGGCAAGAAGTAGTAGGTCCGGTGTAAATGAATGTATGATGACGTCGAGATCCTCTTGTACAATAGGAAATAGGACAATAGTTTTAGGAGCGATGAGTGGCATATCATTTTGCGATCCTGTATGTGTCTGCTCTGCGCTACAAGGCCAGTCTCCCCTTTTTGTATTCTAGAGAATCCACTGTTTGTTTCTCTTCATCTCCTCGTACATTGCATCGTGCAAAAATCACACTGAAGACAATCTATATATACATGTACCTCTACACCAACTCCTAAAGAGGCCAACAGACGAAAATAATTATCGAAACATCGCGTCAAGAAACCCAACCCTTTCGGCTATGCTCATTTTATTGCCGCCTACTCCGATAACTCCATGCGCCTTGCGCAAAATATATGTAACCAATGAGTCAAAATTGTGGATATCGGTGAAAAAGTATTAATACGAGAATATAGTGTCATCAGCAGGTGTCCAAAAGGCAGTCGAGCTCGTCAATTTCGATGCTTTCTGCGGTTCTATCCCATTCAAAGAGCAAATTGAGCTTCAGCCAGCTGTCAGCATCGTCGTCTTTGCGCATAGTCGACATGGGACTCGGCTTGATAGCCGGACTGGTCAAAAAGGCTGTAGTCGGAAGAGCACGGTCGCCGAACCACATGTCGTCGCGGTAGCCATACTCAATAGTAGGGTTACGCTCGGCAGTCTCGGAGCTAGGAGGAGTGTTGTCGTGGGTAAATTTACGTTTTTGAAGAACGTCCGCAGTTTGTGTGAACTCGCGTTCATCAGTTTCCAAAGGCGGAGAGTCCCGGCGCAAGTCTCGTCCGTGTCTCAAGTGATTACTGTGAGTTTTGAACGAGCCCATGGGCGTAATTGGCATGCCCACGTCGTCCTCCATATCATCAAACTCCGGCGACGAAAGGTCTACCTCAGGGGAAGGACTCAGCTCTCTTCGGCGACCGTCCACATCCTCAGAACCAAAATCATCGGTCAAAGATACGGAGGGAGAGACGATAGCAGGGAGATTAATTGGTTGAGTGATGCTGGAATCCGGAAGAGGCTGTCGCGGGCAAGTAGTGAGGAAAAAGTACGTGCGGCGGGGGTGCACAGTCTCGAGTTCTTTAGCCAGGGGGCAAGGAGCAAGAGCAGTCCAGCTCGGCCGTTTCATGTATGAGGTCAAGCGGGAGGAGATGATGGCGCACGGGTTGGCAGATCTAGGCGAACAAAGGGGTCAGCGATTTGATCCAAAGAAAATAAGGTTTGTAGACGGGTAATAGCTCACTGTTGAACAGAAGACAATGTCTGGGTGAGAACAGTCGCCAGTTCTTTGATGAGGTGCGGTCTATTAGCTGTCGACTGCAGCTGAACAATTGAAGCCTCAACAATGTCATCATTGATACCCTCGAGATCAACCTTGGGTATCGCGTACAGGTCAGACATCTCGACGCTGGTGGCCGGGGTGGGCGAAGGAGGAGGCGTTTGCTCGACGATGCCTTCAGTGGGCGCAGAGGTGGCTCCGTGTGATCGCTTGAGACGCTTGCTTGGATGGGAGTCCATAGTATCGACCGAAGACTCTGAATGATGCGCCGACGTAGCTGGGGAAGATGACAATGACGATGACGACGGAGAGGAAGGTCTTCTCGGGGCCTTTGTTGAGGCAGCGGCAGCGCGAGCAGCGTGCGTCACGGGAATGTGTATACCCAGGCTGGGCAGGGACAATGATTTGCGACGCGTGTTGTACGGCATCCTTGCTATGTTTGCGAGGCGAAGGGGTAATGAAAAAGGGAATAGAAAAGTCAAGGGATGAAGAGGCTCTGTTACTAATGAGCTAAGCTGCGAGACGAAGCTGAAAGGCGAGTCAACTCTCTCTATTAGGAGATATTTGGCGTAAAAGGGGGATGCAGCGAGGCTGTAGCGGAACAGTGTGAATTTCCCACGATGCAAAACACAGGACGGGTTGCCCGGTTGCAAGATGAGGAAAAAATAATAAAGGAGGGCGCTTTTCAATAGTACATACAACAAAGGGAGGGGATTCGGTTGGCTGGGAAAAGGCAGGCAAGCACGAGAGCTTGAACTTTTTTTTTTTTCTTTCCCCTAACATCCTATTGGCCGGCAGCTGGATGCAAGCTTGCCGAAGTGGGACCGCTAAACGTCAGTGGGGCTGCAGCCATCGATGCGTCAAGTCAACGCTAGGTCGGCACAAAAAAACGGGGCGAGGCGGACCAATGGCCTTTCACGGTGAGCTGGAAAAGCCCCAGTCCGGCCAGTTTGAGTTGAACAGGGAGGCGCATTCCAGGCGGGGCGAGGGACCCTGCCTGCTTGCCTGCCTGCGCAAGAAGTGTTTGGGTGGAGTTTTGGCGGCAGGAGAGGCTGAGGGGGTTGAGAGGCAAAGAGGTCCTCGTCACTGCATGATCTGATGGCCTGGTCCCTGGAGGGCGGTCAATCGTCAATCCAAACAAAAGAGAAAGCCGTGCATTGCCTCCATCATGAGTCAATCATGGTCATTCTGTCTTTGTTTTTCTTCAGCCGCCACTTACACAACTTATTCTCCGTACGTACGGAAAGTAGCACGGGTCGTCACCGACAACATTGACGTCCTCGCTCTCCTGATTGAGCTTCCGAGTCCCTCCAAGCGAAGGGTGCTTCGACGCCAGGGGGGTAAGACAAAGACAAGACAAGACAGTTCAGGGTGGGCTTTGCATTTTGACCGATGAAGCTCGACAGTCTGTTTCACGACTATCTTGGTAGGTGGTGCACATGCGAGATACAGTAGGGTCGACAGAGCGGCATTTGACCTTGAAGATGACCTGCCGGCTGCTTCAGCAACCCAACCCCTTTGCATCGCGTGGCCGCCTCTGCGATTACACAATAAGAACTCAAGGGCTCGTCTAATGCCAATTTCTTGTCGTCAGGACGTCGCCGATCAGCGAGAATCGAATTCTGGCATCCGTCAACCGTGTCATCGATTATCATAAGCTGCTGTTAATTTGGTTGCAGAAAGAAAAGAAATAAATCTCCAACCATGGCACTGCATTTGAAAATAAAAATTGTGATTGACGAACCATTGATGTTTCGCTGCATGTCGCTCACCGCCCAAAGGGACCAACTGCCTATGGTAGCACGGCGCCTTCTGGAAGTGATTTGCGGTTCGGGGACAAGGCAGGGGAATGGTGTGCGTTTCAAGAGCCTCGTCTTGTTTGGCGTCATGTCGCTAGCATGTCTATGGCTTGATGCGATCAATCTGATGGCTCGTCCTGCCCGAGTTCCCGGATGACGCCCCCGGTCCTCCCAACCGATGGAGTTGCCTTGTGCAGTACTCCTCCGTACGCCGGATATTGGTTTGCCTCTCTCTCAGTTGTTTGCATCGCTGCAGCCTGCCATTGTCCCAGACCAAGCGAGTTGGGATGCGACCTAACAGAGCTGGCCCAACCCAAGTACGACTTTCCTTTTGGTCATGGTCTGGTCTCGATTCTTCATTAACTGATACTTTTGCGCCCGTTCGAGCGCCCGGTCAAGTGAAGACTGTCTGGTCCCTCTCGCCAATCGTCCGCCAACGACGGCCATCTCCTCCACTTCTCTAATGCCCTGGTGTAGTACTCCGTAATGTTTAATATTTTTTTCTTGTTTGGTCTCGGCCTGGAGTCGGCATGAGTCGTGACTTCATCAAGATACGCGGGCCCCCTCTTTTCATTTCTTCATTCCCACACGTTAAACACCTACCCTGGAAGGCCGGATGTGCTTGGTCGCTGAGAACGTTCGAAGAGTTTCAATCGACCAGCAGTAATTCATGGGCCACCCACTGCCAGTCACCATTGACATCATGGAGGACTATTGCACTCACCCACAGTATGTATGCGGGTGATCAGAGGTGTCTTGCATACGGAAAACACTGTAGTGTCCATCTCTGATGGTGTCCATGCTTCTGCGGGACAAGTCGAGACGTGGATACCTGGAGTGCATCTTTTTCAAGTTCCAGGGTCCCGGCTATGCATTTGGAGTCGGCTGACCTATCTGGCTCTAGCACTTCTCATAGTTAATGGGGCGACCGGAAAGTACCTCATATTTGTTCACCAGTTCAACGGCAGCCCTGGCTTGGAGCTTTCACACATTCGAGCCGGAAAAAAATACCCACATCTTCAGGGTCCCGGCGGAACTGGGTCAGCGCCCCATCAAATATGTAAATGCTTGTACGGGGTCTTCCGGTAAATCTCGTGGGTGTGGAACTTTCTCCCAAGTGCTCATTTCCGCATCGAGCTTCCCTGTTGCCTCCCTGGCCGATGCTGATGTGAATGCCGAGCAAGCTCGATCGTCAGTCATTTCCTTATCAACTTATCGATACACTCCTAGGCAATGGCGGAGCTTTCTCGCCGGTGTCCATCAAACTGGCACCACAAAGTGACACCAAAGTCACACCATCATCCCACGCGCCTTGCGGTTGACTCGCGGGACGCCCTTGAGCTGAAAATTGGCCAATAAGCATGTCGATCGTGGAGCGTAGAGAGGGGGTCAAGACTGAAAATGGGAGAAGGGGTTGGTAGCCCAGCCGTCTTGTAACACGATTGTGGTTTTATCGGCTAACTTCGGCTAATTGAAAGCTACATAGTTGTCAGCTTGGAGATGCTGCTGAGATAGCTTCAGATAAGACGCCATCTGCCGAGACTGATCGAGATCGTGACGTCGGTTGACTCAACTTCTACAATATCACGACATCTCTTAAGCCGATATCCTACCAATCGTAAACCGAAAGCAAAGTTTTAGATCCCCTCATTTCTCCATTAAATACTTGAAGTCACCGCCTCCTCGCGCATCACATCCTCAACCATCACATCTCACTCAACATCACACCACCACAACACCGACTTACACCAACCAACAAAGGCTCAACAAACTCCAAAATGCCTACCGAACTCCCTTTCGTCACCCTCGACGTCTTCACAACTACCCCCTACCGCGGCAACCCCCTCGCCGTAGTCACCATCCCGTCCACCCTCAGTCCCCCTCCCACCCAGGCTCAAAAGCAAGCCATCGCCCGAGAATTCAACCTCTCCGAGACCGTCTTCATACACGACGTCGCCAACCCCGAAACCACCAGGACCCGCAACATCGACATATTCCTGCCCTTTGCGGAGATCCCCTTCGCAGGCCACCCAACTATCGGCACCGCTGTCTCCCTCCTCGACCAGGGCGTCGACACGCTCGTCACCAAAGCTGGCCCCATCCCCTTGAAGCACACGGGCGAGCGTTTCGTGCAGGCTAGCATACCACACGACGTGCACGTTCACGCCAAAACGGCGAGGCAACTCGTGCCTGGGAAGCTGTATTCCGTGGAAAGGCTGCAGGCGGATAAGGAGATTCGCGAGCGGGAGCTCAGTTCCCCGGTGGTTAGCATCGTGAACGGGGTCACGTTTTTGTTGATCGAGCTGGAGAGTTTGGAGCAGCTAGCAAAGGTGCAGCAAACGGGTGCCGAATTCCCGCCCGAGGAGCTGCTGGATGAAGGCTGGAAGAAGGGATTGATTGCGAGGCTTTATTTCGTCAAGATGGGGGAGAAGAAGGATGAGTCCGGCTTGCCGGTGCACGTGCTTCGTACGAGAATGATGGAACATTCATTTGAGGACCCGGCTACCGGGTCGGCGGCGTGCTGTTTAAGCAGCTATCTTAGCATCGAGGGAGACAAGCAGACTACTCCCAAACGGCGATATGAGATAACACAGGGCGTCGAAATGGGCAAAGAGAGTAACATTGTCGTCGAGGTGGAGATTAAAGACAACAAGATTGACAATGTGCAGCTGGCTGGTACAGCTGTTCAGGTCATGCGTGGGCACGTCTTATTGTAAGCCAGAAACAAGACTGGAAGCATATAGCAGCGAGCAGTTTTGGTAGACAAAAAAGAGTCGCAATTCAACTATGTGCGTTTCTACTTTGCTCCGGCTAGCCTTTTCCCCTGGAATCAATCTCCCCAAAGCCAACTCCCGCACCGCATGCTGATTTTTGACCAAAAAAGAACAAAATGATACGCCGTGATATTTGACCTCCGCACTACATCATGGCAGACACCCGTCTATCGTACATTAATACAGGTATTACAGCGTACTCCAGCCCCTGCGTACCCTGTCTCTATTTCCCCCAAAACAAAGACAAGTCGTGTGTACCCGGCTCTGAGTCATATCCGTTCCTAAATCATACTATTCTTGTTGTCGTTTTGCCCGTTGAAATTAGTCACAAATATGGACACGATATCTTCAATTCCCTGAATCTTGCACCGCTTAAGTCTTTACGGCGTTACCACTTCATTAAAGGTTTGCGTGCACGTTGCTGCTCCCGTGACATAATGAGTAACATTGGTCGCCAAATGCACCCCGAGAGTGACCCTAACTTAAGCTCTTTGAAGAGTAGCAGCGAACCGATCTGCGACCTAAATATCATTCGTTGGTTAGCACTTTTTCTGCCCGGTACTCAATGGATTAGTGCTGTTTCGGAGCGTACCTCTGGGGTTGATTTGATAAAAGGAAGGTCAAAGAACATGTACTTTTCGTTCTTCACAAGTTCCAAAACCGTCAGCATGAGACCCCACGGCTGAGGCCAGTATCCAACCAGTCGCTCCAGAAACACTCGAGTAATCTCCTGACGAATGTCTGACTCTTCGGGATCATTAAGATCCTTCCCAAAAATATAGAGAAGGACCTGGCTGAAGAATTCTGTAAGACTATTCGGGAATCGTAATTGATTCACCATGCTGGCAATCAAGTAGTATCTAGCCTCTGGAGCCAGTTCATGAATGAGGAGTGACAAAGTTGATACCTCTGGCTCGCTACCGGTAACCGAAATCGATGACGATGTCTGGGATAGCCGTTCGGCGGCTTGGTTGCCGATATAAATGACAACGGAGCCGATGACGTATGGGTTGGCTGCAACGCCGATATGCCCATACGCAGTCTCTTGCGGCTCGCTCTGCGTCATGGCATGCGCGATCTGGGCAACAACGTCTTCCGAAGGACCAACCTGGAGAGTTTGATCTACCAAATCTAATAACCCACCGTCTTGTAACATTGCTTTGGCTTCTTCGATCAAGCCAGGATATGTCTTGATTTCCTCTTTTCCATCAGGCAGTTTGGAATATCCCTGTTGAGGATTCGCCGAGAGCACAGCGTTGAGCAGCTGGGTGCAATGTGGAGGAATGCTGGCGCAAAGCCTCACGTGGTTGCCCGCGACGAAGTCGGGGAAATCATGCTGCAGGACAACCAGAAGTTTGAGAGTTGCCCTATAGACTTCTTTTGATACGGTCGAAATGTTGAAAGCCTTCAACTGTTCGCTTAGGCTGTCAAGAAGCTGAACCACGAGATTGGCGTAGAGGCCCCATCCAGCATTGTCCGGCATTTGAAGTATGACGGGTAAGAAGACCCGGTGTTGGATGAGAGAGAGCCACCCGAAAGTGAAACCAGGGAGTCGAAGAGGGCCCAAGTCACTGAATCTAGCAGCGAACTTCAACATCATGTTACGCTGTTCCTGCTCTGAAAGGTTCTCAGATTCATTGTGCACCTCATGCAGCAACATTGACAACAAGCGGAAGAATACTCTCTGGTTCAGTTGTTCGCCTCTCTTGACATGATGGTGGTTGAGAACTAGAGTAATCAACACCAAAACAGAGTCAAGGAATGAAGCACGAGAGGTTGACGCATCCTCGTTCATGCTAATGAACATGCTGATAAGTTTGGCAAGGGCATCAACCATCACATATGCATCGCCTATAGCACCGGCATGGAGAATATGCTCGAATCGATCAACCGACAAGTCAATGGCAATCCGAACGAAGACAAAAAAGTCATTTTTATCCCGAATAACCTGCTTTGCTTGCAGTTGCTGAATGAAGACGGTGGTGGATTTGTCGAGTGCGTTCTGGTTGTTCCAGAGATGGACCCATTCTTCAAACACATACTCCATTTGGTCTTGTCGGAAGGCTGTTCCCTGAGTGTCCGCGTCTGTAGGGCCACGGGATGGTTGAGGCAGTCCTGAGCCCATCAGCTTCGTCTTCAACCTCTGTCCAGCGGCACTGTTAGGATCTTCGGATATCCAAGCCCAGGCCGTTTCTAGTGTTCGAACAAAGTCGGCGTATAGTGCGATTGGGCGGTTGTTCAGTAATGCGAGGTCAAGCATGTGTTCAAGAAATTCGAGTGAGCCATCCTTACGAGCTTCGATGGCCTTGGACATTGCCATATCAATATTTCTCCAATCAAGCAAGTCAGTGCGTATAAGGGCAGCAAGGAGTTGCAGGCTTAGAAAGTTCGATCCCGGCTGCTGGCTGAATAGGGCACGCACACGGCTATTCAAAGCATGGCCAGAAATTTTCCTAAGTGTTTCCAACACATGAACCAAACTTTCGAGCGTCAGGTTATCCTCGAATTGTTGGAAGATGAGCGCACTGATCTGCTCGGCGGCGTAAATGGCAAATTCTTCCGAGTTCTGAGAGGTCTTGATGATCAACTGAACAAGAGCATCAACAACGTCGAGGACAATATGTGGTCTGGGCAGATCCAAAAAGTGATCCTCCGGAGCCTCGCCTGCCACTCTCAGCAGTTCCTGAAGCAATCTGTTTACTTTATCAGCCAACCCCCGAACATCCATCTGATGAAAACCCGCATTGCGCCCACTGGGTATGGCATTGGCAGCAGCACTCTGCACTGGTGCATAAGGCTGCATCTGTGTGCCCAAATGCTGGATTGAAGGGGTCTCTGCAGGCGTGGGGATATTTGGAATATTTGTGTACGGCTCCTGGAGCACTTCGTTGGCCAGAGTTCGTGTTGCGTCTGAAGCTGATGTAGCGTGCGAGGGCGCTGCGGCCGGTGTGGTTCGAGATTGTCTAGCAAAATCTTCGTAAATAGCCATTTGTTCTGGATTCAGACCGTTCGAGGTGGGAGACAACTTGAATGGATTTGGGATAGTCATTGCCCAACGGTTCACAGTAGCTGCAAAGAATGGCTCGTTGGGGTGTTGCAAGCGATGTCGACGTCTGGTCTCAAGATCTGATTCAATCATATCCTCGATTTCTGGTACAGCTCGTTCCTCTGCTTGCTTTTCGATAATGCTGAGGGCAAGGTCGAGATTGCTGTTTACGCACATGATGATGGTGCCTTCAGGAAGTCCGGATGTAACCTCGTTGGACAAGTTGCGCATGTGGTTGGTCAAATTGGCCCGCAAAGGCTCTTTTGAAGTCACCAAAGCGAGGCCGCCAGCGGTTGCCTTGACCATGCTTACCGCGGATGCGCGCATACGGTTCTCATCTGGTTCTGCCACAAAGTCCTTTCGAACCATTTGAGCCGTCGATATCGCCGCAATAGTGACGGATCGATCTACGACGGGCTGGATTATATCTTGCAGCGCTCGGGTCATAGCGTTTCGGACAATTTCGTGCAGTCGTGTCGTACTGATAACCATTTCGTTGGTAGGTGGAATAGTGATCAGAGGACCCAGATCAGGAATAGTAGCAGCCACGGCCTGGGTTGATATGCCCGCGCCAACAGAAGACCCAAGTCCGTTTAATGATATATTCTCGAATGCTTCCAGTTGCTCGGGACATAGTACCTCTGTTGACTCCTCTAAAGCAGGCCGATTTAGAATTTCACCTGACGGCTCGATGCTCTTATGGTCGAGGTTCAAACCCTTGCAGAGGACCTCGATCTCGAATTTGAGGTTAAGCTTCAACTCGGCATGATGATATAATTCAATCAGCAGGTGAATGATGTCCATAAGCCAAGGATTCGGGGGTCGAAAGACAGTAGACTTGGCACCCTGGGTTAGGACCTTGCAAACGAAAGGAATGACAATGATGAGCCTCTTCGTATCGTGGGCCTCGATGAGCAGCTGTTTGAATGCAATGTTCCTATGCCGGATTGGGCGATCTCTGGCCAGAGTCAGCAAGCCGAGCCAACCACCCAAGTTCTTCAGGTGTGTTCGCTCGGTAGAGTTTTGCATTGTCGCTTCCGAATTCAACATTCTTGAAACGCTAATATATGTTTCTCGGAGAACCTCATCCCATAGCGCTTTGTCTTGTAGGAGAGTAACAAGCTCGAGATAAACGTGGTGATAATTAGGCTGCATTTTGGCACGTTCTTCCACCAGGTGACTGGCAAACCACTGCTGATGCTTGCACTCAAGCATCTCTCGTAGCTCGTTTCGCATAGACTGGATAGTACCTTCAGTAATGTTGTTTAACACAAACTGGATCTTGCCCTGGTCTTCTTCGCCTGGTTCTTCAAACTCAATACCAGGGGGGATGGGATCAACGCCAATTGCAGTAAAAGCTGGAGCTTGCGCGTCGGCCTCAGGTTGCTCTTCAGAGCCACCATTCGCAAGAGTATCGGATTTGAATGCTAGCGCAAGGGGTGTGCCAGCCCCATTGCGGGAGCGAACAACATCTCCTTCGTGATCATGGACAGCATCTTCAGCCCTCTTAAAGGCTTCGGTACCTTGAAGACCTGGTATTTGCAGCAATTGTCTACAAAAACCCGGCCACTCCTGGAAACGGACGTAGAGTTGTATCAGGGCCTGGAGACCAAACTTGTACATTGGCTTGTCAAGTGAGTGATCTCGGACGGCTTCTAAGATCATGCCAAGTCCAATCTTCAATGGTAGGTCTGATATTAGCTTGTGAGAGATAATGCCACCAAAGAGTACAGCAGTTGTAGCCAACGCCTCCAGGGGATAGTCTTGATAATGGTTGTACTCATCGAACAAGCCATGGATCATGCACGCGAACGTGTCTTGATCTAAAGGATCTCGGGAGTGCTTGTATTCCCTCAGGATGTCCACAATGGTGCGCACATCTTCTTCGCCGCCATACATTTTCTTGTAATGATCTTCCATCTTGCTGTTGGCTGCGGCTGGCAAGCTATTGCCGTCTTTCCCATTTTTATCAATGATATCATCGTAACCTTCGCCATAATTGATCAATCGAGGATACGCCGTGATACAGAGGCGCTGAACCATGATAAGGTCTTGCACGGGTGCCTTGGGCAGGAAGTCCTCCAGAATCTGTAATAGAGCCGACACTGTACGAACTTGGAGGCTGGTACTTGATTTCGCTGGCAGTTGGCCGTCAGGTGGCCGTTGGTAACGGATCTCCAATTCTGCCTTGATTAAGAGAAACTGCAAAAGTGTCCGGGACATTTCCGCGCTTCTCTCTGCGTTAATGCTTGCCCAGTTGCTCAAGTCCAAGTAGCCCTTGGTATGAGCTAAAGCAGCCAGGTCGATGCCAAAGCCGTTTGGAAGGTAGACCAGTACATCGAGCCAGTTATGCCGTAATGCGTGTTCAAAGATGAGCGGAAGATCCACGGGTTTAACTGCATGAGCGTCAATCAACCGTTGAATCACCCAATCTTTGTCCTTCCTCCACAGGCTGTCCAAAACAAAATCATACTCAGGGGAGCGTTTGTATAAAAAGTTTTCGAACAGGGAAGTTAAGGTATCCACGGCCATTGGGGCCCAAGTGTCTCGTGGAACCTCAAGAGCAGACACCAAGAAGATGTCCAGATTCGGGACGACGACTTCCTGAAATAACCTCTTGGCCTCGACGCTCTGTGAGGCGTGGACAGAGTTTAATGCAACGTTGAAAATTGCGGAAAGAGCAGCGACAGACACTAATGGGTGCTTGACTGCAGCAGCAGCTCTCTCTCTCACGTTTGCCGGAGAATTGACATAATCCTCGATCGAAATACTTCTCTTCAAGCCAGGAATGGTTGTCGCATCCAGTTGATTTGGTGCCAAAGATGCGTACGCACTAACAAAAGATAGCTGAGCTTCTGGTTCACTCCAAGACCCTCCCCAAAGTCTCTGAATATCAAAGTTGTATTTCGATTCCTTTGCAATTGGTAGCAATGCAGTATAAAGCCGAAGGAACTGGGAAGACGAAATTCGTGCGGACGGCTGATCGAAGAACAAGACCGTCTCATTCCAATCAAAGGATTTTGGAAGCACTCGTTGAAGCGCAGAAACGAGAACAGTAGGGTCGTGTTGGGGTGACTGGCTAATTGTGGCATATGTGAGAGCGGCGGAGACTTGTTCGGAATTAAGCTGGATGTTATTAGGTCGACTTTGTAAATACAAAAGACAAGCCTCTTCATCCCTAGTGAACTCAGAACCAGTCTTTTGAATGTATCTTGCCAGGGCATTCGCAGGTCGATCAGCTAAAACTCGACCGATGTCTAGCGCAGCTAAAACTTCAGATGGAGGGGCCTGGTCGACACTGAGATATCGCTTGGTTACGTAAATCTGTAAATCACGTCGAGAGGAGGCGTTAAAACTGGGGGGGTGGTATTGTATAAATCGGTCGACCACGAGAGCTACGAAGGCTGGAGATAGGTCCGCGTGCGCTTCGACGTCAGGACGCGAAATGATATCCAGAAATGTAGAAAAGTTCGTAGACAAAATGGCATCAGCTGTTGCATAAACCACGTAGGGCGTTGTGTCAGTATGATTGATAAGTGTTTGTTAGAGCTTTTGCTTTGCAGCTTAAGTGTTCTCACCTTTAGTTTTCAGGTCCGAACGCGGTCCAATTTTGAAGGCCAAGGCCAGGAGCGTCTTCTCTAAAGCATCAAGCTTGAAGTTATCCATAAATGTCGAGAGATCAAAATCCCGGAAGATGTCCTCCGTTCCACCCTCGACTGACTCGGCTATTTTCCTGGCCTGATCTGGCTCGTGTGCAATCTTTCGCATTTCGGCTACAAGGATATGATAATTGCCAGAACCTGTGACCGGCCGATTGAGGCTGGGAAATATCTGGGAGGCATTTCCGGCAACTAGCCGGGTGAAGTATTTCGAAAAAACCTCCATTCCGTTCTCATCGATGAGCTTTTGTAGCTGAGCGCCCTTGGAATCCCACTTGGCTGTATCCTCCCTTTCTTCCTTGATAGTACTTAGTAAAAGGTAGACTTGTGCGACAACGATCTTCGCCACAGAGTTGGGCCCTGTCGGACTGCTAGTGCTGGGGCTTGCGCCAGCACTGAGGACACCAGCGTGCGATGGGTGGGGAGAATGATTACTTCCAGTTTGGAGAGTCTGAGCTGGATTTGGAGAAAATGATCCCGTTCTTTGCGGAGGGACCATGGAGGTATACTGGCAGCAATCGAGATTTGGTTGTGGAGCGCCTGCCTGTGGAGTTTCGGCAGGCAGGTAGGCTCAGGGACGAGGGACGGTATAGTCGTAGGAAGAGGAGCGTCAGGAGAGTTCCTACATGGGGGTTGATTCTTTTTGTAGGCTCGTTCGCTGTACGACGGGAAGATAGTCGTAGGTGCAGCTGTGATGAACGCGACTCTACAGGTAGGATGGCAGAATTGATCGTTGTTGCTGGAGTCGGTTTGAAGAATTCGTTACAGCACTGGCGGTTTAACGCTTCAGGCGAGGGCGAGTCGCGAAGGAAAGCTGCAGGATTAGAGAGCTTGGGGGGGCAAGCTCCGCGGCAGTTCAACAATCGAGCGTCGTCAGAATACGGGAGACCGTACGTGATGCAGCTAGGAGCGGAATTCGATGTTGAGAGGGCGGTGATTTAGTGGTGGGTTGTGGTATAGTTGTCGGGCAGTGAGGACGAGGCGAGGCGTTGTACAGAAATCGATGCACGAGGACGGCGGTAAGTTCCGCCGAGCCCTGGAAGCAGGGGCCTCCCCGAGCTCAGGCTGAAGTGATCACGTGAAAATACGAGGCGTTGCCCTGCCAACGATCGGGAGCTACCTGGGTATGCAACCCCAACAATGGTCCTAGTGCCATTCCGCGATTGTAAGTTGCGGCACCACTCTTGGAGCACACAACTGCGAAGAGAAAGGCACCCTATATGGTGTAACTATTAATCGAATACTTGTAGTTGATCTGTCTTTTTGACCATTTTCATCATTTCTTTCTTTAATATTAGGATCGCCAGGGATCACCATCCCTTTAAGGAGTCGGGCAAAATGCCTGCCCCAACCGTTGAAGCACCAGCGGTCGCGCTGTCCTGTGAGTGCAATTGTCATGACGGCATTTGAAATCAAACCAATCTAATGGTCTCATATCACAGTTGCCAACAATTTTTGGGGCAAGGAAGATGCAGGAGTCGGGCCGCTTCTGGAGCGGATGCAAAGTGCAAAGACTACATCGGACGAACTAAAGTCATTCTACAGTGGTACGATTGTCGAAAACTACCTCGTGAATAAACGCTGATGCTCTAGGAACCCTAGCTCGTGCATCAATTGAAGACGAATATGCTAGAAAGCTACTGCACCTAAGCCGAAAGTCTCTGGGCTCCCACGAGATGGGCTCTTTAAAGACATCATTGGATACCGTCAGAGGGGAGGTGGAGTCAATGGCCAAACAACACCAGAGTATTGCCGCACAGATGAAGTCAGAGTTGGAAGAGCCATTGGCGGCATTTGCTGGCGGCATGAAGGAAAGACGGAAGATTGTGCAAAATACGGTTGAGAAGTTGCTCAAGACCAAAATCCAGCAGACGCAACAGGTGAACAAGGTAGGTCAATTCATAACCTACAGGACAAATTTCCGGAATTAAATACTGATTGTTTTCGATTTGGCAGACTAGAGACAAGTATGAGCAAGAGTGCTTAAAGATCAAAGGCTACCTAGCCCAGGGACACATGGTGATGGGACAGGAAGAGCGACGTAACAAGGCAAAGCTGGAGAAGACGCAAATTTCTCTTGCCACTGCAAACACTGAATATGAGTGTGCCGTGAAAATATTGGAGGAGACTACAGCCAGGTGGAACCGAGAATGGAAGGCTGCGGCGGACAAGTTCCAAGACCTTGAAGAAGAGCGTCTGGACTTCACCAAGAGCAGCCTGTGGACATTTGCCAATGTTTCATCCACAGTCTGTGTTAGTGATGACGCATCATGCGAAAAAATCAGGTTATCACTTGAGAACATGGAGGTGGAAAAGGACATCATCCATTTCATCACAGAGAGAGGAACAGGCCAAGAAATCCCTGATCCCCCAAAGTACATCAACTTCTGCCGAGGTGATGTCAATGATGGCCAGTCTGAAGTGTCTGAGGATGAGAATTACTCCGTGGCTCAGTTCCCACGAAGCATCAACCCAGCCTTCCGATCCTCTTCACCCCAACCATCAACTTTTGAATCTCACCACGACCCAAACTCCATGCTGGCAAACAACTTGGCACACAGGGAGCCCAGAGAGCCTAGAGAACCCAGAGAACCCCCGCAGCCAACCAGCCGCGAGGCAACAGTGACGCCTCAGAAGGCGCCTCCGCCAATGCGAAACTCCGTGGACGAACAGCGTCGGGGACAGGGACAGCAAAAGCCGCCGCAGTATGATGTGAATGAGCACGGTCCTCTAGTTGCGGTTCCTCATGATCCCTATCCCATGGACGGCATGACAATGCTGTGCCGAACTGGGCCTCCAGGTCCCCAGTCGGACCGCAGCTCACAACCACATTCGGCTCGACCCTCTAGTCGCGAATCTCACAGCGACTACTCTATTCCTACTTCCATGTCCAGTGTTGAACCTCCTAGTGGACAGGCCTCGCCGGTGAAGCAAGAACCCGTGGAAACTCGGAGCCCAGAGAAGCGAGTACTTAAGAAGAAGAGTGGTTTCTTTCAGAACCACAGTCCATTTCGCAGGAAAAGCACCAAAGAAGTGCAAGCCCCCTCCCAGAACCGAAGCACGTGGCATGTTGCTCCGAGCAGAGCAGAGTTGGTGAGTCTATGTTTCCTCGGCTACACTCTTCAGCGGAGACTAACTTTTCGATAGGAGCGTACTGCAAGCCCTGAACCTATTGATGCAAATGCAAGCCTGGCTTTGGGTGTCGGTCAGAACGTGCTTCCCGTCACTACCCCTGACACTCGCAGACGGCCTGGCCAGGGGCGTGAACAAGACGTTGATCAATCAGACCCCATTGCCATGGCTTTGGCGGAATTGAAGGATGTCAATTTGGGTAAGCAGTCATCACTTAGGATGTCTGCGGATCACTATCATGGCATAGCTACCCCAGCTCCGGGAGCAGATCCAAGATCTGGCAGACCCAGCGGTCGTGAAGCACCCCCTTCGTACAATACTCAAGCTTCCGTCTCCCGACTGGGGGTTCCACCACCCGCCGTTACTTCTCGGGCTATGAAGGAAGCAACTAAAAAAGCGACAGATCAGACCCGTGCTGTCTTTGGCAACGCCGGAAATCGTGGCGCATCGCCGGCATCGCGACCCGCGACTCGTGGGAGCGACATGCCTCGGGCTGCCTCACCAGCACCCACTCGCAGCGCATCTCCTCAGCCCCGAATGAGCGGCGACTCGCGGTACCGGTCTGCATCTCCAAACCCGTACAGTGGTCATCATCGAAATGCGTCTCAGGTCAGCGTATCTCAGCAGCGAGGATCGGGCCAGGGCTACTATGGGTCGGCATCTCCCCACGGATCAACTCGGGGCTCTTCTAGGGGTGGTTCTCCGGCTTCATTTAGGGGAGATTACGACAGACCTCGTAGCAGTTATGGTGGTGGTTCTGACATGGCTGTGCAGTTGGCCCCGGCTGGAGACGATCGCTATGGCTCGCAGAGAGGCAGAGGTGCTGTTGACCTATACGACGGGGGATCACGGCCTCGCAGTAAGAGCGTTGCTGATCCCTCCAGACAGTACACGCGAGATGGTAGACCCATCTTGCATTTCGGTAGGTTCCTCCCCAAAGCAAACAGGAAGCTTGGCTAATTATTTGAACAGCTCGAGCTCTCTACATGTATCAGGCCGCTATTCCCGAGGAGCTTGGATTTGCCAAGGGCGACTACTTGGCAGTACTCCGTCACCAGGATGATGGTTGGTGGGAAGCCGAGGTCCATGGCGGCAATGGACGGGTTGGGCTGGTCCCCAGTAACTATCTACAACCGTGTTAGATTGACTCCCAGATATAATGAATGTTGTACGTATTGTTATGGTATGGAATGTATGACGAATCACTGCGAGCAGGATCAGGGTTTTGTATATGTTCTGTTGGTTATGTATGTGGCAGGTGCTGGAGGCTTACGCTCGCTTTTGAACAAGGGAATAGTGTATCTGGGGTCACGGAAATAGCTGGGATTGAGCTTAGATTGCAAATTATATTTTGATAATAATTGATGTACTAGGGATTTGACTTGAAAAGTCATTTTTTATGGAAGAGATGATAGCTTAGTTACCTGTGTAAGTATTGGTAAATGCAGCCTCCCCCTAGCATGATAAATAAATGCGTCCACCTCACACCGCTGCACTGTTTCTCAAGCTCGGCAAAACCAAAGAAAATCTGGGACCGGAGAGACTTTTGGCGCTCAGTGTTGCATTCCCTCGGGTGACTCAATGAAGCTCAGCGCGGCGCCACTTGCCCATTTCAGTCACGAGCTCAGCTTCTTGGCCCACCAAGACACATGCCAATGCTTTGAGTTCAACAATCCAGTCCCAGGTTGGCAAATTCGACACTCGATGGTGAACTCATCCCCAGCATCGCATTGCTCTGAAAACCACTTGGTTGTGTCTCCAGAATTGGGGCGCTCTCGCAATCACCATGGTAAGACCCTTTGTTTCTCTTAACTATCCTGATCTTTGGCGCGTCATGATGCTAAAGAAACGCCCCCTTAGGAAACCCTCGAAGAGACTGCGCGAGTGATTACCTCGAAACCGGCACAGAGGGCTGCCGTCAATGTAGTGCTTCTGGTCTCGAGTGCAGTGACATTGTTTGGTCTGGCGTCACTTGCAACAGCACTCTTCTTCCAGAACTTTGTGCCCGATCAGTTTATTACAACGCCACTGCATCTCCAATACCAGTATGTCGTGCCCATTTGTCGAGGAACGCTTGAAAATGCACCGGCAGGGGCTAATGTAATGACTCTTACAGATCAGGAACAAATCCGTACGGAGTCGCGCCACTTACATATCCTTCCCCGAAGCTACAGCAAGACTATGATATCTCGGTAACCTTGTCCATGCCACGATCGCCTCCGAATACCGAACGAGGAAACTTCATGGTGTCCCTGTATTTGGTCAAAGATTTCGTGAACGACTACAAATCTGACCCGAACGGACGAAAGGCTCTCGATGGCCGACCCTATCTCGAGGCCAAAAAAGTGCTCTTCAAGGCCCGTCGACCCGCATTGATGCCGTACGAAGATCCTATTCTTTCGGTGGCCAGGCGTGTCCTCTTCATGGGCTACTATCTCCTCTTGCCACGTTCACAGGCTCGTAGTCTTACCGTTGAGCTTGCTGAGCGAGTTAGTTTTGACAAAAGCGCGCTGCAGCCAACAGCCGCGTTTGTAGAGATTGAAGCCGGACAGGATATACAAATTTACAGCACCTCGCTGACCCTGACGGCACAACTACGGGGACTGCGATGGTTGATGTTCCATTATCGGTTGGTCACTTACATGGCATTCACATTCTTGTTTTGGGTGTGTGAGGTTCTTTTCATGTGTTTGGCCTGGGCTATATGGAGCGCAGCCACGGCGCCCAAGAGTGGGAGAAACAAGGGCATTACCTTCAGAGACGGTGAGGTGCATGGCACAGACGACGAGCATGACGACCGCTCTGACCGCACCGCGGGCCCTGTTGCTCATGCTAGACACGCAAGGTTAAAGAGAGAGCCTGAAGTCAAAAAGGAGGAGGAAGGTGAAGAGTCTGAAAGGCTAATGTCTGATATACCAATGGGCGAGGCGGAAGCGGATGATGAAGATGGCTTTGACGATGGGACTGTTATTGGTGGAAGTGGAAGTAGGAGCGATTCGGGAATTGGGACGAGTTACAAAGAGGACGGCAGTGAGAGCGTTCGACGACGAGCTTCTCGAAGTACTTTGGAATGATTGATGGGACGTCTAGTTTGGTGTGGTTCAGAACGTTTGTATGATACCCTTAGCTTTCTGTTTTAAAGTAGTTTCAGCCCTAGTGACAGTCGAACTTGGTGGCGCTTCATATCCTGGGCTTCTTTCGTTTTCTTTTGTGCATTCGTATTCACAAAGTATGAGCCACGAGTTGGACTCATGTTTTGCTAGTAGATGCAGGATTATGGCTTTTTTT